ATATTTGTAATTGTTAAGTAATGATAATTGTTAATTGTGCTGTAAATGATATAAAAATAGATGCGCCAAGTGTTGCTTGGAATTCGAAAAAAATCTAGATAACATAAATTGATATTTTCGTTGGTGTGGCAATCGGTCGTTTGGCTTAGCGGTTAAAGCGTCTGGACGCGAATCCGGAAGATATGAGTTCGATTCCCACAGCGGCGACACACTTATATACCAAACAATATAAATGTTTTTGCGTTTCCACTTTTCAGTAATTTAACAAGGAGCTACTATGCTATAAACAACTTTAGAAAACCGGCCAAATGCGAGTCGGACTCGCGCAAAATGGGTTCCGTACAATTATCTACAAAAAAGGGGAAAAAATCATTTCTGTTGTATGAGAGCCCCACTTAAATATTTTTATTCTGTTTTTTAGTTGTTATAGCCGCAACAGAAATACATCATCTGTGAAAATTTCAAGTGTCTTCCTATCACGGTTCATGAGATACAGCCTGGCGACAGACAGACAGCGGAGTCTTAGTAAAATAGGTCTTAGTAATATTTTTACCCTTTGGGCACGGAACCCTAAAATTATATTTAGGCAGATTGACGAGCTATCCAGGTTTGCAGCTTGTTAAGTACTGTGAATGGTGAATAACTTAATCCGTGTATTAGGATCTAGTGACAAATTCCTAGTAGTTTTTGCAAAAATCTTTTTATTGAAAGTTCCAAATTAAATACAGACATTGCGGACTCAAATTTCACGCGGAGACTTACTACGTTTAATTCTTAAACAAAACCACTACGATTTATTTGATCAATCGATGCTTGATACTTCTTTGTGATTATAGTGATATATAAAGGGTTATTCATCGGAATTACATTAATTTTTAACGGTGTTGACATAATGTATGTATGTTTATTTGACTTATACGCTGTAGTTATTTGAAGAAAAAAAGTATAGTTGATGCACAAGTATTTGTGAGACCCACAAATAATTGTCGCGGATCTGGATGTTTGTTTCCCAAGGAGCGTTGACGTCAAGTAGGCGGCCGGTCGTAAAAGACGTAGCCAAAACCGCTTCCAACAGGATTCATATGTGCCTACCCCACCTAGGTGGGATAAGGGCAGGATGATGGTGATTGTGTACTATTAGAGAATATCATGTTAAAGTTTTCTAACGGTTACAATTAAGATTTCAACACTGATCGTACTAGCCGTGCGATGGCGAAGCTAGTGTTGAGATAAACAAGATTACGCCTTGGCGACATTACACTGTAATTAAGCGGAGGCGGTCTCTGTAACCGTTGAAAATGGTTCGAAAAATATAACACCTTATCATCAATATTTTGACATGCATCAGTGATTAACACGTCCATTTGGGATGGTTAAATGCAAATATGGAGCCATTTACATCGGCAGCTTTATAGCGTCGTAAAGGGGGAGTTAACATGTAGAACAAATTGACCGATTCGATGAGAGTAACCTTAGTTTCTGTAGTTTAGCTAATACTTGTTAAGTTTCACTATGTTTATATTAATTTATGTCTCACTAGCTGTGCCCGCGACTTCGTTCGTTCGTGGAATTTGAAATGAATAAAATTTCTAAAATAAAAGTAGCATAAGTTACTCCTTGTTGCATCAGCCGTCAAAATCGGTCCAGCCGATTCAGAGATTAGTCGGAACAAACAGACAAACAAATATTGAAAAATATGTACCTCCATGTTTAGATACATATACATATATATAAAAATGTATATATATATATATATATATATATATATACATTTATATATATATATACATACAAGGACTATATATATAGTCCTTTTCCATAACTTGTTTGATCCAGCAAAATTAAAAGAGTACTTTGTTGATCCACCTTCCCTGTGAGCGCGCATACGCAGCTCGACGTCAGTGTTCGTAAAATTAATTCCACAGTGTTTGTAATAAGAACTGAATTTCCATGTACATTTTCTATTGAGTAAACTGTTTCTATATGTCGAATATAATAACCTAGATAAATATAATGGACGAAGAGATGGTTATACCCTATTTCTTATTAATTAGTTTACCATAGGATGCTAGTGAATAAATAATTTAATATTGTAAATATTATCGCTTGATATTAATGAATCCTTGGGACATTAATTAAACAAAATACCTACTTACTATAAAGTGTAGTTTTGTTGTTATGCTTGTTAGCACATGCAGCCTGTATTAATGCGATTGAGGTGATGCCCAAAATGCTGTACTCCTAAGTAGGCATCCAAATATTATCCCGAGTTGATTTAAACAACTTGCGCGGCGGCGAACTATGAGCTCAAAGAATGTCATACATATAATAAAAATTTAATTGATTGTTGTTTGTACATGGAAGATATTTGAGAAAAACTATTATTAGTGGCCTTTGTCAACGTAGTAGAACCCAAAACAATGATAGTTAAAATTATTGTCTGTTTATCTGTTTGTCTGTGTGCGCTAACTTGGCTAAAACGGCCTTTCCAATTTCAGTGCAACTTTTACAAATGCATTGTAGTAAGCTTCTCTTAACATTTATTGTTAGTTTTATTTAAGTCGGATGATAAATAAAATAGTTATATCAACTTAAAGAACCACATTGTAGATTTGTGCGATGAAACTATAGTTAACTATGGTCTGTAAAATGATGGTTCATATAAAGTTAAAAAAAAGTCGCCCAAGTGCGAGTTGGAGTTGCGCACGAAAGATTCCGTAGGTTTTATTAAGCACGATATAATGTGCGGGCGAAACCGCGGGCGCAAGCTAGTTGTACAATATATTGCTACTATTGCACTAGGAAACGGATCAACAACGGTCGCAATGTAATGCGACAAATGATGTAGTGTGAAAATTTCTTTAAAGAGACGTGGATGAAAATATTTTAGTTTAATTTTAACTGTTAAATTTGTTTACAAGTCATTGCTCAACTCATTATAAAATATGAGTTTGGTTTCAAGAGAATAAATTATTATTATTTATTATGTAATCAATAGTGTTATTTAAGCTAGTGCTATTTAGTGGGTTAAAGTTAGATTAGTTAAGAGATAATATGCGATTTATCGGACAAATCTTTACATGAAAAGATTATTTTAACCAAATAAAATGGAATATTAAGGAATAAAAAATATAGTTATTTCTAGACACATGAATAAATAATAATACGACGAAAAAAAAATTAAGATTATTTCTATGTAGTCTAATCCAGAATATTTTTGTCACTTCTTGAAAATTTAGAAAAGATTGCCAAAAAAAATTCAAATTTTTCATTGTTTTATTAAAAATCTAAGGCATTGAAATATGAAAAACGTTAATAAATCAATCAAGATTTTTTTTAATTTTTTGAATATGATGCTTAATGAAAATATGACATTTAAGAAAAAAAATTTTCACGGCTACAAACGCTTTTTCTAAATTACAATTTTTTGTTGCTTAGTGTTAACATTATGGAACCATTTTAATAAAATCATAATTTATCACGTTGTTATATCATAAAAAAATTATAAATTATAATTTTTTATTCGGTTGAATAACGAAAAATTTTGTTTATTACTTTTCTGTTTTTTATATAATTTTTAAAATTATTGTACACTTGGACTTGTTGGTACCTATCAGGTATTCTCCATTGCTATTAAAATTACTTATAAACTATTGAAGATACGACTAGAACACTCAAAGTCTTATTTATTCTTCAACATTATTTTTTATATATTGAAAAGTACATTCATTTTATACGTGAATTAAATAATTAACTGTTGAGTATTGATACCAATATTTTTTTTATTAATTATTATATGTAAATTCTTAAATAATCTATCACGCGCGCAACGAATTTACATTAAAATATAATGGTTGTGTTGTGTTGCACGTGAATCTGAAAAGCGCGCGAGCGCTAGATATTGCTGGCCCTTTAAAGCATGTATTTCAACAAATATCACATTCACGAGATACAGTAATTCTTCTTAATAAGTAGGCACTGACGTAAAGTGATGATTTCAACCAAGCCACTAAATCACATACATATGGTATTGGATCAACAAATCGGGTATGGATCAACAAATTTAAGCGGATCAACAAAAAACTGATCATACGTAACGCTGGATCAAACAACTCCTAGAACGGATAACTATATATATATATATGTTTTTTTTTTTTTTTTTTTTTAAATTTATGCCACGATAGCTCAGTGTGTGGACGCTCGCTTTCAATTCAATTTACTCGAGCAACCTGTGTTCAAATCCCGATGTTAGCACCAATGAAATTGTTATTTTTAATTATTTTCTTATCGCGTGCTCAGAAGTGAAGGAAAATATCGTGAGGAAATGGTACAGAACCCTTCGTGCGCAAGTCTGGCTCGCACTTGGCCAATTTTTTACAAACGCACCGAAACAAGTGTAACTTCCAAAACAATTATGTTAATAAGTGACATTTAAAATGTACTACTTTCACCGTATCTATGTCAATAAAAATTAGCGTATTAATTTCGTTAAGTTGAATCTATTTATGCAGGTTTCGTTTATTCAACATGTAGTACATTTAACGTTACAGTGTATTGTGGGAGAGTAGTCTTGCCGGTTGTTCTTTTGATAGTCTACACTTTTGAATCAGCGCTGGAATTGTGACTGATTACTGTACGAGGATATGAAATATTTCGACCTTGACTTGGATTAAAACAGCATTCGCTTTAGGATTTCTAATTAACGGTAATTATAATTTTATCATTTCTTTTTATGTAAAGAGCTGTCAATCCAGAACCAGATGTTAAGTCATAACCTTCGCCTAGGGACATTTTAACACTTCGCGGCTTGCAGATGCGATGACAACCTATATAAAATTGGGCCCTTGCTAACTCGCCAGACGTAACGCCAAAGAACAATACCTCCACTCCACGCTGGTCTTCTGTGACGTCATGGTACTTTCCTGAACGGGCCCGGCCATTCGTGAAACAGAAACTGTTGCGTGTCCGTACCACAGTAATCAGTAATCTCCCTTCCACAGTTGCAAAATGAATTCCGGCTGGCTGGCGTGGGAGTGCATCGTGTTCGCCATCTTCATCTTCGCGTCGTCCTGCGCGCCGCTGCTGAGCAGGCGGAAGGATGCGAGCGCAGCCGGGGGCAGCGCTAAGCGGGCGTACATCTTCGCCGGCGGTGGGGTCTCCACCCTCGCTATGATCCTCTCCGTCGCCAGAGGCACCCTCGGGGTGCGTTCCTTTCTGGGTACGTTCTAAATCATCTTTATTTATTTTCGGTACGCCTTAACTTTCATAATTATTCATCAAATTTGATGATACAAAAGCCACTTTAGCGCTTACGTTAGCCGCTATTGACGATCTTTAATTCATTTTTCAATAAGTCAAATTTTATAAAAATAAAGGTTAATAGTAACCACACTTTATTTATACTTGTTGTTCAGGTAAGTAACGAAAAAATACGTAAACAACTCTAATGTAAAATGAGGAAGGGGTGCCTCAGTGACCGGGTAGATATTTCACGGTTTGCTGTCACAGGTTTGAACCACAGTGGCCAAGTAAGCCTACTTCTACGAGTTTTCTGCCGTCTGCCATATTCATGCGTGGTGTACGGCGATATGCCCAAGCTTACTATTTTTTGTAATAATAAGCGCAACTGTGGCCGCTAATATAACAAGGACAACTCTATCTATCTATCTCTTTCTAAATCGTTTGAACTTGATTGGGAGTTCAATATTAAATTGTATATATTGCTTGTGACAATGAAACACCGTTTTATAGGTCATGCAAATGTTGATTTCGGGATGAGAAACGCGATAACGACGTCTGTCAGTCACTAAACTATCTCAGTCACCTGTTAAGATAACGTAAGCAGTCATTCGTACGTTACAGTTCTAAATTTAGAATGTTATAACGGCTTTGATAACAGCGTCCTACTCTCTAATGATTTATCTCCAAATTATCCTGCGTTATAAATCCATTCGGCTTATCTTGTGCGAATATTCTTCTGAGATAACTCCGATGTATATGAGTATGCTATAATGTGACGCACTAGGTCCGCTTACCCGACACCACACGGATAAGTGAATATTATTTTTTTTACTATTAACAACATTAATTAGGAAGTAAAAATATTAAATGCTTAACGCACATTTGGCGATAAGATTTTTTAAAATATTATAACGACAGAAACAGACGTAAATTTTTGCATTTACTTCCTATTCAATACGTTTGATAAATCTATACAGATAAATAAAAGTGGAATGTCTGTTTTTAATATTAAAATATCCGCTTTTTACTAAATGCATATGGATGTATACCACGGTGCATATACCAAAATAATATTTTTATTTTTTCTCTCTGTCTGATTGTTCCTAATTACTGAAACGGCTGGCCGGACGGGACTTTCACTGGATGATAGCTGAAGTAATAAGGACTAACTTAGGCTTTTATTTTAGAAATTGACACACGGACGAATTCGCGGGCTCAGCTAGTTGGTAGATAAATATCGAAACTTATACCTAAAACCGTTACTGCGTTTTACCTTAAACACGTTAGAAAAATGGATGAGAGTCTAAAACTGCTACTATCTACCTAGGTAGCTTATTATTAGCGAAAACACATTCAAAATTGATGAAGCAGTTTCAAACATCACAAATTACATTTAAATTCGCACAAACTGTCTTACCGTCTCAGCTATATTCATGAAGAATGTGTGAAATTTTTTGTATCGCACGCGTTATGGGAATACAAACATACCTACGTATAGACTTCCTTATTATGATTTAGTTATCACAATATTGTAAATATTGATTTGTTAACGTTATGTATGCGAATACAGATATTTTGTAAGCTATTTTACTAGTCGATTTTTTATATTTATGTTCAAAAATTCTTCAATGAGAGTTCATAAACAGTATAACATGTTTTATAACAAAAGGAAAAAACACTTGAAATAGTTTACGGCGCATATTCACAGTTGGACCAGTGTATGGGACGTTTGGCTCAAGATGAGTTCGGCGTTCATCGCATGGTTTCTTGGTATTTATATCTTCAGAGCATGCTCACCAACTAAAGTGGAGTACCTATATTTACCCTCTTAGTAAAGTAAGTATTTACGAGAAAACTCCAACTCATTATTAAGTTGGCGTAAACAATGAATGCTGCTCTTCCTCTAGATGCGGTGACTGTACTGTATTTATTTATAACGTTGCAAATTGAACGAGTAAATTCGATAATTTTGGAAAACGTGCACGGTTTGAGTACATCCGAAATACTTTTCGAGGGCTAACAAATCCGGCAAAGCATTTGTGAGCCCTCTGGTGTTGCAGGTGTCCATGGGCGGCGGTGACCACTTACCATCAGGTGAGCCTCATACTCGTTTGCTGTTTTTTTCCCATTAAAAAAAAAACTTTAGATTTTCAACAGTCTTCAAAAAAGGAGGAAGATCTCAATTCTTTTTTTTATGTTTGTTACCTCAGAACTACTTCGTTTTTGAACCGATTTTTTTGGAGAGAATCTTGCCTTCTATTCCACTGTAAGGTTTGTTTTAGTGTTGCCGATTCCGGAGGGACCAATGATGTTTCGTTCGCTCGTATGCAGAACTGCTACACACAAACCGAGTACGCTATGTAATAATGTAATAGGGGCAATAATCATCGAATGATTACCTACCGTGTTCGATTCGTCGCGGCTCTTTCAAATGGTAGCTTACAATACGCATCGCACTTTTGTTCTTGTTTTAACGCTCTCAGTCGAGCAACGTGCTCGCCAAACAGCGTCGGTAAAAAATAATGCTCTTCTACGCAGTTCAAATGGAAACTTCGTTAACTAATTAAATAACAATCCTAATGTGTGTGCAAAAAGTGTACACAAAAACGCTCATCGTAAGATAGACGCCCGTAGGGATTGACGTATTTATACTTCTGTTACCGAAACATGTGCCGTGATAGCTCATTGGCCGGGAGCTCGCTTTTAATTCAATATACTCCAGCAAACCGAGTTCGATCCCCGGTGGCGGCACTAGTGAAATTGTTAATTTTAACTGCTGAATTATCACGTACTCAGCGGTGAGGGAAACCATCGTGATCTCCTCACGTTTGTGAGGAGTGAGTTTCCTTCAACCTGTCTGTTTTCGAAATAATAACAAAAACGATTTTTTTTTATTTCGAAGATATGTGCCGCCAATCCGCAGTGGGGCCAAGTGGACTATGGCCTGATATCCTCTGTATAGAGGAGGCCTTTGCCAAGCAGTGGGATATTTATAGGCTGTTACTTTACTACTTACTATTTACCGAAACATATCAAATGGATCACGTTTAAAGAATGCGATTACCACGCCACGATGCTTTTATATATATTCGCACGAACAGATTGTTTTCTTCCGTATAGTACCACTTATATTATGAGCGGCCGATATTGTTAAGACAGAAACTAGAACAGTTCGTAATCAAGAAATTATTGGATTTTAGTATTTTTATAATCGTGTCCAAATTTAAATGCGTTAAGGCGCCTAACAGCGCGTGGTAAGATATATACTTATAGACTGGTAGATATATAATTATATATACACATATATTTTAGGCTAAACTGATAAAATTATGCTAAACACATTATATATTAGGCTAAACTGATAAAAGCGTGTTAAAATGTCTGACTATAACAATAACGAAGAGGCCAATGAACCGTATTCAGATACTAGTTTGTGTAATAAGCGAATTTCGACCTTAATCCCCTATAAATACGACTCCAATTATATGTCATAAAACGATTGTAAAGCGCAAATCTTCCGGATTAGGCCGATAAAAAAGTCAATACTAACGGATGGGTGAGGTAAATTATACCTGCATATGTTCTTATAAAGAACTGTTGGTGCTCACGTCGACTGCATCTATCTGAGGTCGCCAATTTGAATATGAGCCTCATGATTTAAAATTTTAAAATAAAAAACTAACACGCGCTCTGCGTTTGAACGCTTTTGGTTGCTTTTGTAAATTCGATTGATTGGCATGAGCAGAGTAACTCATCGAAGTGTCTGCAAACATGAAACAGATCAATGGTTTATTAGGAGCGGATAGGGGATAAAAATACACACATTCGTATCTTTAAATGTATAATTCTTCTGTGCGTGTGTTCAACTGAACTTCTCATAAACGGCTCGACCAATTTTGATAAAAAAAATTATGTGTGTCCTAGTATAGTATAGTGTAGTGGATTGAGAATGGTTTAGATCTATACAATTCGGTCTACTACACAATGCTTCTTTTTCAATTGATAAGTTATTGTAGGATTCAAGACGTGTGTAGACAACATCTGTCGGGTTCGGTTGTTTATTTATAAAGAACTAGCGACCCGCCCCGGCTTCGCACGGGTACAATGCTGAATGTTTTTTTTCGACATCGTATCAGAAACCTCTAAAATTATCAGTGTTTCTCTACTATATTATGCGTGACTTATACATATAAACCTTTCCCTTGAATCATTTTATCTGTTAAAGAAAACCGCATCAAAATCCGTTGCGTAGTTTTAGAGATTTTCGTAGTTTTAGAAATTTTAGAGATGTAGTGATGATGAGGATAACAGTTTCAACCTGTGCTGTACCATTATTACGGTGGTAGAGCCACGCAGCAGCCTCGGCTGTTGCACGTATGGGCAGGCCCGTCCGGTGTGAGGTGGTGAGTGGTGAGTGAGGAAGCCGGGGCCCACTTTATTTTTGTTGGATGTTGCAAATGTCAATGGCCGGCGGTTATCACTTAGCATCAGGTAAAACGCCCGTTCACCTTCTTACATAAAAGAATGTGGACTCCCACGTATCCCTGTTACTACCCAGATTCCGTGGCAGGGGATCCGTAAGCGGTCTTTCCACGATAAAAAAGGAAGGTGGATTTTATATTTCTAGAACGTTCGGGAATAATTATCTAGTCGTTAGTGCGCATACCTGACCATGAAATGACCGGCTCGAGACGGTTTGCTCTGCGAATTGTCATTTTGTTCCGGCATTTAAAGGAGTTACCGCCGGTGAGATTATGATTGTAGTAGTCATGTTTTTTTTAATGTTTTTAATTGTGTTTCCTTTGAATAATGGTACTAATTTCGAGGATGAACGTCGACACCGATGGTCGAAAGAAGGCCTGGAAGTTGCTATTCTTTCACCTTTTGACCTCATGATAACGCTTTAATTACAAACACCGATAGCTGTCCGCAATTAAATGTAGATACCGGAACAATTTTACATATTTTTCGTCTGCC